TGGAATTTGAGTTGGTGCATGAGTAATGTACTCTTTCCTGACGCTGATGTAAGGGGGGCGGGGGGCGGGGCCGGTCCGTGTCGCGTCTGTGTCTGCCCATCCGTGCTGTTCCGTGGTTTTTCGTTGCTGTTTCTTTCCTCCTTTCTAAGGAACCGCGTCCAGCCGGGACAGGCGGACGAGGGCCCAGGTAGAGGGAGCGGGAGCAGGGCCTCAGCACCCAGGTCTCCTCCACCTCCCAGCCCCAGGTGCCACCTACCTGCCCCAGCCAGGCGGGGGCCGCCCAGCCTCCCCGCCGCGTTCCTGGCTCTGGGGGCACTATCTCAGACCGCCCCAGCCCCCATCACCCGGTTGGTTGCACTGTAGCATGAACTCCCAAGTGTCTTGTTCAGAGGAGACAGACAATCAGCCTATTCTTGTCGCCCAGGGTGGTGGGGGGCCGGGGGTGTACCCCAACTTCCTGAGATCTGAGGACCCTCCCGATGCCCCCCACGGCAGGCACCAGCACTCCCCCGACTCCACCCAGACGGCCTCGGCCTCCCCTCCCTGGGCTGTGCATGAGTCTGCCTGTGTCTGGTCCAGGAGGTGGGGGACGCACGTCTGCAGAGACCCCTCCTTCCCAGCCCACTTTGGGTGCCTAGAAAACAGAGGGCCCCCCAAAATCATCAACGGGGGTTCTGGGATAATGTCCTCTGTCTCCGACTCCTCTTGTCCCATGAGGCCATGTCCCTGGAGGTGGAAGGGATGCAAACAGGCCGGCTTGGGAAGACTCCTGCTTCCTTCCCAGGAGGCCAGAGGCTGGAGGAGAGGGTGGCAGAGGAGAGATGAGAGGGTCCACGTTCACGGACAGGTCCCAGTAGTCGGGGGCGGGTAGCTGAAGGGGGTGCTCCCCACCCCAGAAAGCAGAAAGCCGGGTCTGGAGGGCTGGGCCTGGGGCTGAGGGCTCAGCCGACCTGAAATCTGAAATGAAGCCGCAGGACTGCTCCCCACACCAGCGGGCGCCGGGGCCATTTCACTTTCTCTGCCCCAACTGATTTAAGCAAAATCCGGACAGTAAACTCCTGGGGCTCCTCCTCGTGGCCCCGTGGGACCCCGCAGGGGCTGATTTTGGTGGAATGAGCTCAGCCTGCGGTGCGGGTGAGCCAGGAGGCCCTGCAGCCTTGAGTGTTTTGAAGAGACTGGAACTGAGGGCTGCTTTCTGGGGAGACACCACTTGGACCCTCCAAAGTCCCCTCCCCTCCAGTGACAAAGGGGAGAGATGCCCTTCTCCACCCTCACCCTCAGGGGACAGGTTTAAGAGTTTAAAAAAAAAAAAAAAAAATCTCGTCATTGTTAACCATTGCTGTGCTGGGTTTGTTGATTTGTTTTTCTTCAATAAATTATTTTCTAGTCACTCACCTGGGCGTGTGTGTTGGCCGATGGGTGGGGCACAGATGGGGGGGTGGGGCACAGATGGGGGAGGCGGGGACTCGCCTACCACAAAGCCGGGGAGGGAGGACAGGGGTGCAGGGACGAGGGACTTTGCTTCCACCACCTCTGAACCTCCACCACCCGCAGGGAATGGCTAAGAATCAGAAAGAAAAGCTCAGTGCCTTTGAGTCACCCACGCCCCAAGATGCAGACCTTCTCAGGCCTGCTTCCCGGATGTCACTGCTCACCACCTTCCGGAGTCTAAGGGGAACGAGGCCCCAGTGAGCCAAGGTTTATTCAAAGAGGAGAAGCCAGGGTTTCCCAGTGAAGGAAGAAGCCAGATGGTACCAGAACTGGAGTTCATCAACTTTTTTGGGAGGGCCCAGCTGCCAGGCCGTAGGGGAGCCACAGCTTTTAATAAGCAACTTTTGGGCCAAGTGCAGTGGCTAACGCCTGTCATCCCAACACATCGGGAAGCCGAGGCGGGCGGATCACCTGAGGTCAGGAGTTTGAGACCAGCCTGGCCAACATGGAGAAAACCCCGTCTCTACTAAAAATACAAAAATTAGCCACGCATGGTGGTGCATGCCTGTAATCCCAGCTACTCGGGAGGCTGAGGCAGGAGAATCGCTTGAACCCAAGAGGCGGAGGTTGCAGTGAGCTGAGATGGCCACATTGTACTCCAGCCTGGGCAACAAGAAGGAAACTCTGTCTCTAAATAAATAAATAAAAATAAGCAGCTTCTGAGAACAATGAAGCTTTACCAACATTATCAACCCCAGGGGGAAGAAAAGCTTTCCCTGCAAATAGCCCACTGGGCCACTAGAGATCAGTGCTTTGACTTTAAAAAACAGGAAGGAATTATTCTATCACAAAAGAAGTGTAGGGAAAAAGTGAGCCTGAATTAGCGCTGGGGTCAGATGGACCCTGGTTTATTAGAAAAAGAAAAGTGTGTAGAACCCTTGTATTCAGAGGAAGGCCTCCTGAATGCTGGGGGGCTTGTATAGGGCAATGACTGCTCCTCTGGGGGCAGGGGTGGCTGCTCCTCGACGTACACCAGCAGCCACTCCATGGTGACGATGGGCAGGGCTCCACCTACATGGGCTGCTGGCTCATGGAGGATTCTCCCGGACTCGGAGGCAGAGTCTCCACCTGAGATTCCTGGGTCTCGTCTGAGAGTGGTGCTGTCCCCTCCTTGGGTGTGTGGGGCTCCTTTTGCCAGCTCTTCCGGAACTGTGTCAAGGGCCTCAAAAACGCTGACTTCTCCGAGGATTCTGCCTGGCTCTCCAACGTCAGCTGGCCTGAAAGCAGTGACTGGCTCGCCAGAGGTTGTGGCCGGCTCTCGGAAGCTGACAGCTGGCTTCTTCTCAGCAACAGTGATTTCTCCTGAAAAGAATGTGACCTCTCCTTAGTCAACAGCAACTTCTCAGGAGAAGGTGGCCTCTGCTTGGGTGACAGTGGCCTCTCCTGCGCCCTCGGCAGTTGCTCCTGGAAAGACCCAGATAGCCTGTTGGTGCTCGCGAGCAAATTTTTAAGAAGGGCAGGTTGGTTTTCTGAATGAAAAGTGGACACACTACCCATTGAAAACAATGAGCTTATTGTGGAGGGGGCTGTATTTCCTCGGAGGACACCCTCCCCTGTTGCTGGCACTTATTCCCCACTGGTGATACCTTCCTGAGATGCCAGTGTGACTCCTTCGGGCTCAAGGACGCCCCTTCATCACATGGGGCTGAAGAATCAGAGGTAATGTCATCGCTGACCCCTGGTCCAGTCCGCAGAATTGTGCCCTGAGTAATGAGGTCCGCATATCCCTCATGGTGGGAGAAAGCGTAGCTGGAACGCCGGGCATGAGACTCCCGGTATAAATGAGGCACAGGCTCCACGGTGAAAATGTCCTCTCTGGGGCCCTCCTCCACCTTCTCTTCCTGAAGAGCAAAGGGGAGAGCAGGGGAATCAGACTCCCATGCTTGGCTGATGGCTCTCAGGTGACCTGTCCCCCAGTACAAGAGGCAGCATTCACAGCCCTCAGCCATTATGGACTGCTGTGTTCTTCTGTACCCAAGTTGAGCCAACTACAGTCCTCGACTCCCATTGTAGAGTTCTAAGGAGGACTCTGGTCCTTTGCTCTTCAAGACCCACTAATTGGTCTTGCCCTGGAAACTAATCCTGGATCAGCCAATCAGAGTCCTTCCCTGGGTCTTAACTCTGGACCACCCAATCAGAGTCCTTCCCTGTGACTTAACCCTGGATCAGCCAATCAGAGTCCTTCCCTGAGACTTGACTCTGGATCAGCCAATCAGAGTCCTTCCCTGAGACTTGATTCTGGATCAGCCACCAGGTGCCTTGGCTGCCCTTTGATGGCAAATCCAGGAGAGGTGAGTCTGGGACAACCATGTGTCCAGCCTGCGCAGTAAAGGTGGCAGGAGCTGAGCAGGGAGAACAGAGGTGGCAGGGCAGGTACGCCACCCAGGCAATTCTGGGGCCCATCTCGGCTGCCATCTGCTTTTCCACGCATGTTTTGGTTACATGGGCGATTGAGTCCCCCTCCCTCTTTTTTTTAGGTGGGGTCTTGCTCTGTTGTCCAGACAAGAGTACGGTGGCACAAACATAGCTCACTGAACCCTCACTCTCCCAGGCTCAAGTGAGTCACCCGCTTTGGCCTCCCAAAGTGCAGGGATTACAGGCATGAGCCACCACGCCTGGCCGCCCTCTTGACCATTTTCATGCTTATAGCTCAGCAGCATGAAACACATGCACACAGTAGGGCAGCCACCACCACCATCATCTCCAGAACCTTTTCTTTTTTTTTTTTTTTTT